ACCTTCTCTTGCTGGCTCCTCAAGCACTTATGGCAGGAAGCTGTTGTCAAAGCACTGCAGAAATCTTCTAGATTGTTTGAGCCTTGCTGTCTTGTTCTTCCAGCACACATCAGCTGTTAATATCACATACTGAATTCCCCGCTCCTAGTTTGAACTATGAAGTTACTTTTTACTCCCATTCCTAATATTGATAATATTTACTTAAGAAGTAACTATATTTTGTATACAAATGTATAAAATTTAATTATAAATAGGAGCACATTGTCTCAGGTATTAGCATAGTTTTCATTATAGAACCTGAAACTGTAAAGGTGTTTGTTCTAACAACACCAAAAGTCTCCATTTTTCAGACAGAAAATAACTGAATAATTGAGAAAGGAACTTACACAAGTTACCTTGGAATCATTGGCACTGGTGGGAACCTAGTGCAGGTATTTTTGGTTCCACCTATTCCCCCACTCATTAGATTATCTTCAGCCACTAACCTAATTTATAAGGCTTGGCTCCACATCCACATTTAGGGTTCAATACAACCGATTTCAAAGTTCAGCCCAGAGATACAACCTTTATCAGCATTTAAATATCCACAGAGTATTTGGACATAAGAACTTAGCCCAAATTTAATTCAAACAGAAATTTATTTAAGGTAAATGCATTAAAAGAAACTAAACTGAAGAAGACTCTCTTTTGCATTTCTTTTTCATAAAAATTAATGCTTACGCAGTGTGATTAAATGCAGAGAGCCAAATTCTTAGGATACTTGATAAGGATACTCACGTGTAGTTTCAGTTCCACGGAGGCCCTCACTAGCAGCATTTGAGTATATAGCAAATACAGCTATCTGGTATTCAGTTAAAGACATCAGGTTTTTCAGAACTGCTGTTGATAAGCTTCCATCTACCACAACCTGTTTAGAAGAAAATTCAACTTAACAGACATAATGCAAACTAACTGTATTACCATCTAATCAATCAACCAATCCCTCTTTCAGGAATTTTTACACTGTCATTGAAGAATCAATGTTCTGAAGTTCGACTCAAATAAAATTTGCTTTGCTCCCTTTATTGTAGAGTGAGGTGTCTGAAAAAAGCAACCATATGCATAATCAAAATGTTTAGCTGACATAATTAGCCATTTAAAACAAAGGAATTCCTTAGATAAATGAAATGTATGGAATACAATTTAAGAGTGTATATTGGGTACTTCTTGAGTAATTAGTACATCATAATGACTATTCTTTTAGTACTATATATGTACATATAGAGTACTTGAAATTGACATTACATGTCTTTGCTAAAAAAGCTTCTACAAAATGATATAAAATATATCTTTAGTTAAATCTTTTTGCTCTTCTGCTCTTCCCTTCAATTTTCTAAGTTGTCAGCTGAAGCCAAAAGCTTGTTCTACTACATTTTTCCACATTTCCAAAATGCTTAAGTCCTATTCAAAGAAACTCCCCTCTCAAAATTCCAGTGACTAGCTTCAGACAACTCAAAATATACACCCGTATTCTCTTATTTTCATTAATTATTTTTTCTTGGAACTGAAAACCTGCCTTGCCTTCCCATCAGCTCCTACTTCTTCTTTTCTTGTAAACAGAATGGTGCAGGTAAGCTCTACAGAACTGGGCCAAGTAACCATATTTATAAGCAAAAATGCAGGCAGCTCACCCCACCCTCCAAAAGTGCTCACTGTTATAGCACATTTACTTTAAATCACACGACAGAAAACAGCTTGACTGCTACTTAATCTTCACCACCATCCCCCTGTGATCATATCTCCTTTCTTCACTGGGCTTCAGAGCCCACACAGGGAATTTCAGGGCAGATTTAAATAACATTATGGGTTTTCTGTCTGGTTAGCTCTTGCTGTTGGTAGTAAAATCTTGTGAGAAGTTTTCCCTCCTATTACCTCTTCTGGTTGTCCTCCTCGAGTGGGATAATACACAACCCTGTATTTTTCCACTTTGCCTGGTGCATGGGTCCAGCTAACCCGGAATCCTCTAGCTGTTACCTCAGATGTGACCAAATCCGAAGGTGTGCCAAGTGAGGCAGCAATTGTTCCTGGGTTAAAGACAACACAGATTTTTTTTATTCCCCTCTGCAAAATAATTATTTGGTTTGCTGCATTTGCTGAAGCTCCAAAAGTCGCTCCTCATCAGAAAATAATTGGCTACTGCACATTTATTTAGGCTATTTTAAATGGAAACAAAGAATTACTAATAACAATGAGAACTGCACTTGGAGTTTCTACTGGGATTAAGCCTCCCTGGTCTTTCATAAACCTTTATATGAAAGAGACAAAAATACAAAACTAAGACTTCCCTGTCCTCCTTCCCATCACTCTTTCAAGCCCTTTCTGGGCTTTTCTTTCAGGCTGCCTTCCTCCCAGTCACAAAAAACATCCAAGTACATATACAGCTGTGATCTCCTGTGCTCCTCTGCAGGTTGGAAGCTGATGTGCCACCTGTCAGCAGACTGAAGAGATGCAGTGAATGGTCACTTTCTGTGGCAACCATCCCTTTCCACAAAAATGTCTCCATAGATTTTTCCATCCTTTTCCCTCTCCGACTGCTTACTGCTTATTCCCAACTAACTTCTTACTCCCCCCACAAGACATAGATAATGTTCTGCATTTCTTCCAGTTTCTAGGTGAACAGAACATTTTCATTGCATAGGTAGAAATATGTGTGAAGACAACCTTCCTTACTGATACACATTACAAGCTTATTGAAAAATCACTCAGCATTTCTGTGATACTACAGAATCACACACCAAGCAATACCAACAACATTCACTGAAGCCTTTCAGAAAGAATTTCCTCAAGTCAGACTATTTCTGTCACAAACTGGAACATTTGTTCATAGCAGAAAAGCTAAAAAATATTGTAATCAGAGAAGGCTTTCTTTATATATAAACAATTTACTTCACCATCATCTTTTCTTATGCTTTTAAATAAGAACGAAAGAAAAAATCCATCATCAGGAAGGGATAAAATAATCTTAAAAGTGAAAATTTTGAAACTTACGAGGTAATAAGAACAGTAAGTTAAGAAATGGAAATCTCAGCACAAATGTAACAATTCCATGAGAAGCTGTTAAACTAATTCATCCCCAAACCTGTGTATTATTAAAAAAAAATAAATCCTTACCCACAACCTAGATATAGCTACAGCAGAATTAACGTAACTGTAATATTTACCATTATCAATGACAGAGAACAAAATATCAAAGACACCAAAGCAAAAATACAGCAAACCTAGGAAAATAACTTCCCTGACAGTGCACTTGCTTGTGAGCAGAAGAATATACAGCATGAGTCAAGTGCCAAAAGCCAGCTTAGAACTGCAGGTATTTAGAATAGGATTTGTAGCTCTAAGTTCACATTAAGTTACATTAGACCTTGTTTCTCACTTACCTTTGATTTCCTTTTCCTGTTCCTCTACTCGTGAGCAGACTGTTCTGGTAAGACCTTCAACAATGGTATGCATGAAGTTGAAGTCAGCAACGTTGTAGACATGTGTGCTGTCAGGTTCAGAGGCAATCTCTTTGAGCTCATTTATATCTGCATTCTTTACACCTTTCATTGGAAAGAAATACAAAGAAAAATATTGCAACAACAACAATATATTGTATGCACAGGGACTGATTAAAAAAATACCAAAATCCAATTATTTCTTTTTGTTTTAATGACCAACTAGAAGTTGATCTGTTGTTAAGATGTTCTTTCAAGATGTTTATTTCTGCCAGGGTGACTTGCATATTTTCAGCTGTCTCCTGATAATGTAGCATCCATGTATATATAGCAGCAAAGAGTTGGAGAATATATTAAAGACTTAACCCAATAACAATAGTTAACAGATACAGACAGAAAAGAGCACTTCCTTAGACTGGAACAGATACAAATAGACCAGAACATAACGGGACACAATATATGGATACAGCAGAATACACACCAATAGCAAACAGCTCTATGCCAGCATCCCGTAGGTTTTTAGCAGGAGGGATAACATCATCTTGAGATTTCCCATCAGTGATCAGTATACCAATTTTAGATACTCCAGGTCTTGCACCTGCCTCAGGCCTAAAGCTGTTTTCCAAAATGTAAGTTAAGGCAAGACCTAAAAAAGGAAACATTTTACAAGACTTTAAAAGGGAATAACATCCATCAATTTTGCTAATATCAAAATGTTTGTCTTTCCATCAATTTAAAAATCCTGAGAAACATTTTAATGAAAAGTAGGTATCAAAGAAGAGCTTATTTCATGACAGATTAAATTTCAGCAAGCAACCTAAACTACTGAGAAGGTGACTCTAATCTTTAGCAGTCTTTTGGTCAATCAATGTATTTTGAATTGATCATGGAAACCTAAACTTATCTTCCTGTGAATGTATCTTTTCTTTCTTACTCCACAAAGCTTGTATAGGAAGTCCCCTCTCCTTCTACCTGCATCACTTATATAAAAGTACAAACTGTGGATAGCTTAGTAAATCCCCATATTATATACAATCTTAGTTTAATTTGCTTGTTCTTTCCAAGCTGAAGAAAAGCTTATATAAATCTTAGGGATAATCTGATTTTAATCCTGCTAATTGTCTCAGGACAAGCTTCCATGTCTCAATTAAATTCCATCTGAATACTCTCTGAAGTATCCCACAGCAAAGGTTTATAACTCACCACCTTCTAACATCCGTATTAAATAATTATGATAACTTACTACTTGCTACCTCACAATAATCTCATTTCTAGAATCATACTAGAGTTCTTCTGGCCCTTGTCCCACTGCAATCACTCCTCCTACCAAATAAAGGCTGTCACAGAAAGTAAAAGACTCTTTCACATTCTTTCTCCACATCCCTCCCCCCCACCAAAAAGAGAAAAAAAAGACAGCAGCAATTTACTTAAAGCCATGTCTGGGTGTTCAGATATATCATTCCCCTGGCAAGCCAGTCAATATTGCTAACTGCTGCTTTGATGATACTGGAGTTGTATTCAGAGACATTGCTTTTCCCAGGTTGATAGATATCCCCCTTTTATACACCACTATGTGTCCACTAAGTGTCTTCTGGGGCCTCAGTGCTCTAACTACTAAAAGGTCAATGGAAATCTAAAAGCCCCAGGTGATCATTTGAAAAGTCACTATTGCCAACTGTCAGGTATTAAAATAACATTCTTTTCTTCCCCAGAATAAAGCCCTGTGCATTAACATTATGAATGGATTTTGCATTTTCTTCCTAGCAGGTAAAAGATTTTACTTCTAGCGCAGTGTTCAAGTACCCTGAGCTTTACGAGACTCTGCCCCGAAAGATTCCCAGAGAAGCCAGTGAGACAACCACTGCAGAAGACACTCCACTGACATTGGATAAAGCCATGAGCAAGCTGCAAAAATCCTTTTCACCCTTCATAACAAGCACTAAAGCCTCTTAGCCTGTGCAGCAGAACACGTTTTGCCAGAAGCCAAAGCAGGCACTGTACCTGTTAAGGTGTTCCCCCCCTTATAGGGCAGGTTCCGGACTGCATCCAAAACGGCATCTTTGGTGCCGTAGGCATTCAAGTGCCACTCGATGCGGGGGTCGCCGCTGTACTGCGCCAGGCCTGAGAGACAAGGAATCAAGGCAATCCATCAAGACGTGAAAGGTGAGGGGTTTTTTCAAGCATCTATACTTCATGCACTTCGTTACCAACAGCTGACCAGAGTACACCTTCCATCATACAGTAGCTTTACTACCATACTAGAAAAATCGCGTTGCTTGACGCCAAAAATTAGTATGAAGTTGTTCTTAGTGGCAACTCCCCAATTCATTTGCAAAGCTTGTCTTTCAAATGCTAAGGGAAGAAAATAAGGAGTACACAACTTTTACAGAATTTAGTAGGATTCCAATACATTTATTTTTTAAATAGAACAATTTTATTTAACATACCTTTGAACAGAATATAAGTAGGAGAACAGAAATATAACATTTAAGCCAGTTTAAACCTAGAGAAAAGCCATCCATTGGCACATTCTTTCTTTGAAAATTAACCTGCAAGGGTTTGATCTAACATTGGCTGAAGTCAGTGTGACTGTGTCCACTTTTTTTTTTTTTCTCTAGTGACACTGTATTAGAGTTTACTTGAGCCAAGTATCACAGTAAACTGTGAGGAATTAATAATTAATACTACAAACATTCCAGCAGTATTAATCTTACGACAGAAGTGTTAGTTTCAGGTGAGGATGAATATTGGACAAATAAGTAGCATTAAGATGTTAATTGTCCTGAAATAGTGACACTTTTACATTGCTACAGAAATATTAAGAAAAAAAACCACAGCATCTTACCTACTCTTGTTTTCTCAGATCCCACATTGAAAGCAGAAACCAGATTTTCCAGGAACAGTCGAACAAGTCTGAAATTGAATCTGCCAATACTCCAAGAACCATCTACCAGTATCACAATATCTGCAATTGCTGGAGTTTTACAGGTAAATAGGCTTCCTGTAAATTATTCAAATGAAAAATATATTGTTAATTCAACAATAAACAGTAACACAATAAATGCATACCTTCCTCCTCCCACTAAGCCTAATACTTAAAAATTTCTTCCCTGGATGAAGTGAGAAATAAGTAAAATCACTAAACACATTTGTTCAACATTAAGTAATAGAACAACTTGGCCATAATCTACTTCAGTGCTTTCATTAAGCTGTTCAAAATTACTATTGGGAGACCCACGAAAAAGAAATACTGCTTCTAAAACTACAATATCTAAGAAAGAAACTGCCACATAACCCAACCAAACCAGCAGTTTTCCATTTCCAAGGATACACATACACAGTTCATGACAATTAACCTCAGGTGCAGACAGTGCCGAGAGAGCTACCTAGACATGCAGACATCCAAAAGAGTTACCAAGACCCCTTTTAGAGCCAACATAGAAAAGCAGGTGTTCCTCTACATTTCTACAACTCTGTAGGAAAACTTCTTTAGCTGCCATTATATACTTCTGAAGTTAGAAGTGAATCCCTCCTGGGAGTCTAGAGTAAATCTGAAGGTCAGTTGCATTAAGCTGTAATAAACCTAAGTCGGAGGCACTCCATACAGCAAAGGTAAAATGCAAAGACCTCAGATTCAAATTCACAATATCTATGAGAATCAGCAGCACATGAAGATTTAGCCTTACAGATATATGGAAAAGTATACAAAAATAAAAGAGTATTTTAAAAGCAACAGAAAAGATCTAATGAGAAATAGCAGAGATGCATATTAATCATCTCTAAGGTTTAACCAATGGGGAAATCAGAGGAAATGGGAGTAGAGATTAGACACAAGTTGCAAGATAAGCCAACAGGAAAGTCTTTAGGGATCCAGATTCTTGACAAATTGAGAAGCCTAAGCAGAAGTGTCATATTCAGTTAGAGAAAATGACAGGAAGGGAAAAGAAATGAAGTTTCCATAACCTCAGACAGAATTTCCACATTCCACAGAGGTGGCTGTATGACTGTAAAAGTAAGGTTGCTAAAATACTGGATTCATATTGTAGAGAGGGAAAATTAATGAGTGATGTCATCCAGATATACCAAACAGAAGTTTGTTTGAAGTACAAAAATAGCAAACTCCCCACCAGATTGACTACTGACTATGGATGAAAGTAGGAAAGTCAAAGTGAACATGGTAGTAGAAATGCAACAAAAACCATTTAGAGTTGAAAATCATGTCCTTGAACACAGTAAGAACCCTGCAGATTAGTAAACTGCAGCCCAACTTTTATCACCATTTTTTTCAGAATCCACTACTTATGTTAGTTGACAAAGCAAACACCTAAGGTGGTACTAACAGGAATCACTACGTACGTTGTTAGAAATAAACTGATCTTGAGCAGAGATGCTCAGTGAATAAAATAAAAAATTAAGTGAGAAATAAACAAAAACATGCTTGCATTAGCTCACAAATAGCTCTCCTGTTACAGAGAGGGAAAAAAACAATACTATTAGCAACTTAAACCTTTAACACAATATTACTGACAATCTTTTCATTAAATACAAAATAATAGTCTAACAGGCTAAAACAATCTGCTGTGCAATAATTAAAGATTCATACTGTGTGTAAATACACTGAGCAAGAAACCCAATCCACAGAGTTACAGTTAATGTCTTAAACGTGCACTAAAAATGTTTTTAGAAGAGTAGAGAACATTTCCTACGTGCAGCTAGCAGTACAGAGCAAGTTCTAAGCACATGACAAAAATTCCACTTACAAAGATGCCAAAACAAATATTTTATTTTAGCTTTTACAGTACAAGACAATGCTATTTGAATTGGCAACACATTTTAATGTATAAACACTGGGGAACATTTAGTAAGCATCAGAAAAATGATCTTGAATTGGAAGATTAATCCAAAAGAGGTCCAAATCTTTCTGTCACTGAAGTCAACAGGAAAACTTCCTTTGATTTCAGCAAGACTGGAATATTTTTTGTGATTTCATAGGAACTTACTGGTCATGGCAAAATTAACGTTCTAAATATCTTTGCCAAATAAACTTCCTCTAATTAGTCTTCGTTACTTGCAGGATTTGCCTTCCATTAATATACAGTTCAATTGTGCCATTCTCACACTGCCCATAATTAGCTCCTTAAACTTCAAAAGAACTGTTGGCAGAGTACATTCAACTCGACACCAGTAAGAATGATTGAATTGGACCCCTGATTCACATCCAAGCAGCTGTACTAAAGCACAGATGTACCTTTTTGGTTTGAATCCAGCAGTTTAATTATTTAGCCCAATGAGGATAACAGGATTTGTGTGGCTGTTTTTCCCTTCTCTACTTCTCAAATCTTATGCTTACTATGAAACCCAGTTAATACCCCAGGTCTTACCCATATCAAGCTTTGCCTATTAGGCTTATTTAACCCTGTACTGATGGTTTTGTGAATAAAACCTTTTATTGGTTATAGCAAATCCATTCAGTGAAGCAAAACCCAAAGAATAAAGAAAACAATAACGACATTCCTTTCAATATTTTATTTCCACATCATCAGATCAGTGCATAGTACAACCCAATTATTTTTTTGTTAAGAAAGCATGTGTGGTTTTTGATCCAAGATTGTACTGCAATGTCACAGAATGTGAAAATTTGATTCATTCTTCGTAGATAGGAGATACTTGTTGAATCTTTTCTGCATAAAACATTTAGGTTTGTTACTTCTGTACACCCACTATTTGCTTAAGTTTTCTCCTTGTTGTACTTAATAGAATTGTAGAAAGTTCCCTAAAATGGAATAAACAACAGTGAGATATTAAACAGAATAACATGCTGTATAGAAATCTTTAAAACCTGATAGGAATAAAAACACTATATCATCTTAGTTTATAAGGTTAGACTAAAAGACACAGCCTGTAGCAAATAATTTATGCACCCCACAGAGATCAGCCAGTTTCCATTACCACTTCTAGCAAATGCCTTTTTCAGTAATCTTTCCATACATGGTCATGAATTCCTATAGGATTTGAGGATAATCTTGAACATTTCAAGTACCTAAACATAACTTTAATAGGCAATTTACTCAAATATATTTCTTAAAGAGGGATCACAGCATACAATTCCATATTGAAAAAGCTCCCAACACTCAGTGTTTTATCCCACCACAAGTTTCAATAGTGTGATCAGGTTGCACATATTTCCCTTTTACTTGGTTATCATGAAAACTGTAGTGAGAGAGAAGATGCCCCTTCCCTCTGAATTATACAATACTCACCAGTCTCAAGAGCAGGACAGCAGGAAGAAGACCAGTTACTCAACCTCATATAAGGTTTCCTAATGTTATATAGATTGCATTATTCTGCTTCAAGTGCTGCATTCCACAACAAACAATAGTACTGCCTGTGATTTTTAAGTCAGAGCAAATTAGAGAATTGCCAACATCCGTAAGTCAGAAAATGAGCTTACATGTTCTACACCAGCAACTATCTCCAGTGCATCCACCTCCAGTGGGTGGAGGAGTTTGATGGGGAGAAAGTAAAAAATTAATGGACTTTCTATAACAATTTTACTATCTCCTTAGCTTTATTTGGCAGAAAAATTGCACAAACCCTGCTTCAGTATTGCCAACACTCCTATCATCATCACAAATTTTGGTTCTTTTGTTGCTGGGAAATCTTTCAAAGAACAACCAGCATTAAAGGAATTTTGTATCCACCAAAGTCACCAGCCCTTGATCCCTCAAGGGATCCCTCAAGACATTGAAGGTGATGCATTTGCTTGCAATTCCAATGTGCAAGTGCTATGGCACTATCAAGACCCATGTCAGAATTTGGCTGAGGGTGAAGCTAATGAAAGCAATGCTAAAAAAAAGAACTAGCTAGAACTTTCTTGGACAGAGGGAGAGTTACTGGAGCCTGTGAAATGTGACCGCTGAGATGTCCTATTGAATGGAATGGAGTGTAGAGTAAGGACTGGGAGGGGCTCTGGCAGCACAGGGGATGCTCAGAACAAAGCAAGGTCTTCAAGCTTCTGACCACCTCTCCAAGGCCACATTTTCAACCTGCTGTTATTCTTTCACACATACATCCAGTAACCAAATAAAAAACAGTAAGCCTTACTTAGACACAAACACAAAACTAATGTTTTTTAGACCAGACTAGCATCTCTGACTCTTGGAGTCAACACTACTACTCTTAGAAAATTCTTTGAAAGGCAAAGGGAGAAGCAGTAAACACAGGCACTGCCACACAGGAGGACTGAATGCCTCAGAAGAACCAGTTAAATCTGCAGGCAGTTATGATACATTTTGCAGAAACACATTTGATATTTTGACTCCCCTTGGTATGGAGCTCTGTTCTCATTTTCAAGAGCCAAAACACACACTTCTTCTGCTAAAAGAACTTAAGACTATAATTCTTTCTGAGTCTGCAGCATGTAGTTTCCTTTCTTACTGTCACAGTGGAAAAGTCGAATAATATATGTGGAAGGAGAGGAAGAAAGTTCAAGTAGAGGCCACTAATAATACAGCATGAATGGAAGACTCATTTGCAGGAGAACAAAGAACAAAAGGCACGAAGCTTGATAATAGAAGTGAAAAACACCTTAGGAACAAAGCATGAATGACAGAGAATTGTCAGCCCTTCCCAGTGATTGACATCACCACAGCCTAACAGAAGTGCCACTGAGGACAAGGGCAATATACACCTACATCAGCAAAATGCCACTTCTTTTTAAAAAGGGATTAAAAAAACACAGGGACATGTGGCAGAGTTCAGCTCCGAGATTCAGCAACTCACTAGCCCACACTTTGACTATGATCTTCTTGCACTGTGCTGGTGATATCATCATTGCACTTAGACCTCAGTGTAACACATCCCATATGTCAGGCTATGGACCAGACAAATGCATACAACATAACTGCTTTTCTTTGAACTAGATCCAACCATAGCTTGAATTTGAAGGATTCTATACTGGAACATCATTAGGTTGAAAGAGCAGCCCAACTAGGCTAGAAG